AATCTTTCTTCCTTTAAGTTGCTTTTCTTGAGTATTTGGACACAGCAACACAAAAGCCTAATACAGTTGGCCTTCCTTTCCAAGCTTGATTGCCTGAAAATAGCTACCATTAAGTTAAGAGAGAAAAGCATAATGTTGAGAAAGCAACAAGTAAATCAGGTTTGAGAATTATATCTACAAAAGAATCAAGGTATAGTTACATGCAGATAGAATTGACAGAAGCAAATTGACCAGATGTTTCTGAAGGGATTGTTTCATCAAAAACAAAACTAACAAACAGAGTCAACACCACAGACTGGATTTAAAAAAAAGGCATTCAACTATTGTGGTCTTAAAACAAACTCCAGGTCCTGAAATTTGCATGGTTGCAGGCAAGCTAAGAAAGCTGTACATCCCCAACAACCTCTTCAGGTATGACCATGAACAGAAACAGACAAGTAAAGTAAACTCAAAAATCCTGAAAAATAATGGATGAGAGAATTTCCCAAGGGGAGTAGAATCAAAGTCTAACCAAGAATTACCCCCACATCCCCAATTAGAGGTATTTACAATGCATACCTCAGAGGATTTCATAGCTGCTGTGGACCAGGGACAGCTTTTAAATATTAAGATAGTATGGTATTGGAGGAAAGATGCATAGATAAATCAATGGAATGAAATAAGAGTCAGACACAGACTTGTGAATACATATGGAAGCTTGATGTGGCTCTGTAGCTCTCTTAAAGGAGAAGCACTTAATAAATAGTGTTAGGGAAATATGTTACCCAATGGGAAAAAAGAGAAAGAAATTTACTCTCTACTTCATACTATACCCCAATATCAAGTCCCAAGGATTAAAACTTAACTGTAAAAGGCAAATATTTTAACTTTTAGAAGAAAATTAAGAATATCTTTATGGCCTTGGGGGTGATGGAGAATTCTTAACAGAGACACAAACTCTAGATGAAAATACTGTAAATTTCAACTACATAAACATTGAGAAAGCTTCTCATTGAGAGCATGAAAAAACAAAATACAAATTGGTAAAAGATATTTTTAACACACATACTGAAAAAGGATTAGCATCCGAAGTATATGAAGAATGCCTAAAAATCAACAGCAAAAGGTAAAGAGCACAATAAAAAAAATGGACAAAGACAAATTGGCATTTTACTAAATAGGAAATATAAATATTCCAAACATATGAAAAGACACTGCTATGCTTTGAATAATAGTGACCCCTCCAAATTTTGTGTTGGAATTTAATCCTTAATGCATCAGTATTAACAGATGTGGCTTTTAGTAAGTGAGTAAGTCCCAAGGGCTCCATGAGGGGTTATGCCCTATAAAAACAGTCTGAGTTTGACGAGAACACTCTCTTGCCCTTATATGCCTCTGTGAGCGCACAGTGTTGCACTCCTCCCAAGGATGCAGCAGTAAGACACCATCTTAATCAGGAATGGTGGTTCATTCAGGCAATACCAGTTACTCAAGAGGCAGAGATGAGGAGGATCACAGTTTGAGGCCAGCTCCAGCAAAAAATTAGCAAGAGCCTGATCTCAACCAACAAGCCAAGCATGGTGGTGCATACCTGTAATTCCAGCTACACATGAGGCATAGGTAGGAAGATAGTGGTCTGAGGACAGCCCCAGGCCTTCCCCCCAAAAAATGCAAGACCCTATCTGAAAAAATTAACTAAAGTGAAAAAGGGCTGGAGGTAGGGTTGAAGTGGTAGAGTGCCTGCTTAGCAAGCAAAAGGCCCTGCGTTCAAACCTCAGACACTATCTTCAAAGCAAAGAGTAGCCCTCACAGGACATTTAAGCCGGCCAGCAACCTCATCTTGGACTTATTAGCCACCTAAACTGTAAGGAATCAATTTCTATTGTTTATAAAGTACCCAGTCTCGGGGATTTTGTTATAGCATCACAAAGATACTCAACTTTATTGATTTTTTTCCATCATCACTGTTTTTGTTTTCTTTTTTTGGCACTGGGGTTTGAAGTCAGGGCCTTACATCTGCTAGGCAGATGCTCTTACCACTCTACCAGGCTGTCACCATTTTGGGGGTTTTCTTGGGGAGAGGGCAGGAAACACTGGAGTGTTAAATTCAGGGCCTCATTGCTCTACCACTTAAGCCACACCCCCAGTTCTTTCATTTTCAGTTTGTTTTTCAGATAAGGTCTCTACAATAACTTTGCCCAAGCTAGATCAAACTGCAATCCTCTTGTCTCCACCTCCTCAGCTGTTGGAATTACATGTGTGTGCTAACACACCTGGCCATCATCACAAGATTTAAGTAAATAGTTCAGTAGGGTTAAGTATTGTTATACAACAGAACTCCAGAACTTTTTCATATAACAAAACTGAAACTTTATAACCATTAGACAATGACTCTCATTTCCCATTCTCCCTAGCCCCTAATAACCATGATTCTACTTTCTATTTCTGTGAATATGAATATTTTAGATACCATGTTAAGGTTGAATTGAGTTTACCCCCTCCCCTCATCTTATGTTGAAGCCCTAACCTGAAGTACTTCAGAATGTGACTATATTTAAAGAAAAGACCTTTAAAGAGCTAGTTAAATGGAATCATACAGGGTGGGCCCCAATCCAATCTGGTATCCTTTATGAAGAAGTTTGGACACACAGAGACACCAGGGATGTGCATGCAGAGAAAAGGCCATGTGAAGGCATAGTGAGAAGGCAGCCATGTACAAGCCCAGGGAGAAGTCTAGAAGAAGCCAAACCAGCTAACACACAGGTCTTGAACATCTGCTAGACTCTATAACTGTGAGAAAATAAATGTTTGTGGTTTAGACCATCTTTTTTGTTGTATTTTGTTATGGTGGCCTTTAGCAACAAACATGTCATACAAGTGGTATTTTATTTATGTTTTGTGACTGGTTTATCTCACTTAGCTTTACATCCTTAAGATTCACCTATGGGTAAAGCATATGACAAGATTTCTTTCATTTTGAAGGCTGAATATTTCATTGTATGTACACACCACATTTGCTTAGCCATTCATCCATTCAGGGACGTACGGGTTGTTTGTACCTCTTGGCTAGCATTAAGTAATGCCGATATGAACATGAGTATGCAAACAACTCTTTGCAACTCTGCTTTGAAGTCTTCTGGATGTATAACCCAGAAGCGGATCATGTGGTAGTTCTATGTTTAACTTTTTGAGAAACTACCAGGTCGTTTTCTGTAATGACTGCGCCATTTTAGGATTCTAATTCATTCACATTCTCATCAACACTTGCTATTTTCTGTTTGTTTGTGTTTTTGATAGTAGCCATCCTAATGCCATCTTGGTATGTTTTTTATTTGCAGGTCTCTTGTGATCGCTTGTCAGTTTAAAAACATTGTGAGACCTCTCTGAGATACTATTAATACTCACCAAATTGGGAAAAGTCACCTGATTAATACCAAGGGTTGGTGTGGATAGAGATAAACAAAACCTCATACGTGCTGTTGTTGGGTGTGTACATTATTAGCGATCTCCTTAACAAACAATTTTACGCTGCCTTGCAAAGTGAACATTCACCCTTAGTCCAGTCCTGCAGTTTTTCAAACCTTGGATCATCACTTATTAACTGAGATTCACAATTGTCACTTTTAAAAAAAAATTTCACACGCAAATGGTGTTTGATTATGTTGAGAAACTTTTAATTTTATTTAAATAAGTATGTTTACTGGTTGTGAGGCAGTTTAGGTTAGGGATAGGATAGTCAGGGACTGCATCCCGTCTTGACTCAAGAGCTCCTCCCGCTAGCCCACAGGTGAGAGGAGCCCACAGGTGGAGGTGGGGGATGGAGTCTCTCCCACCTCCAAGTTCTAGGTGATACTTAAAAAAAAAAAAAGACCTGCCAAAAGACCCCAGCCCTTCTTCTCTTCTGTCACCTGGCAGACCCCATGACTCCTCGTTCCCTCTATAAAGCTATTCCACTTCACCCCGTCCACGGGTTCTGCTTGGATTCTTCCACCCAGAAGGCAAGGACCAAGATCTGGGAACACCATTTGCCTTAACATTTGAAGACACCAGTTGCATTCCTTATGAGCAGTGGCCATTATGTCTGAAAGCCTCTCATTGTGTCCATGGATGTTCATTTTATTAATATGCACCATAATTTAAATTTTACTAGATACTTTAAGCACGTATGACTACAGAATTGCATATTTGTAACAATGCTCACATTTCTAAAAATGCTCAAAAAAGTGTCCTTTCTCTTCTAGCCCAGTAGTGAGTCAACACTCCCAAACAAAAACTGGATTTCCTGAAAAACAGGTTAAGTCAATGTGGGGGCAGGGCTGCTGTCAGCAAGCCAAAGGTCAGATGCGGGACTTTAGCGAAATCTCTGTGCAACTTTCCTTCAGAGGTTTGAGATGAGATCAGACGCAAAGAGACCACTACGTCAAGCATGAAATGAACTGTGTGCTTGTGTACTTTTAGGGGGAAAAATATCATAACTGAGAAAGCTAATTTGGAGATGTGCACACCTCGCCCACGTCCTGCGCAATGTAGATTTACCTATCGATCCTCCATATTAGCACTCAACTAATAATTTAATTATCAGAGCCATCCCTGCCAATCCTTACTGTAGAACTGAGATTGACTTTTGTCGGTTTTCTAAATTTCCTTTATCTTCAGGCAGCTCAACTTCTCAGTGAAAGAAGAGCAACTCGGAGGCTTACAAAAAACAAAGCAGTTGCAGGGCGTTAAGAGAAAAGTAAAGAAAATGGAAACGAAATCCCATAGCAGAAAGGGATTTTGGAAGCTAAAAATATAGGCAATTTCCACGCTAAGATTTCCAAAAGAATCGAGAAAACTTTCAAGGGCTCTTTTTCAATGTGAGAACAGTAAGAAAATTCATCTTGGGAAGTCTACTCCTTAAGAAAAAAAATAGAAATACGCAGTCATTAGACTTCAGCAGCGGCAGCCGTAAAGATGGCGGTCGGACGAAGCCCCTTTCCTCCCGCCACCGGCTCTCGCCTCACATTTCCCACAAGCCCCTCCGCGTCGCGCCCCTTGCAGAAACCTGCCCGGCCGCTGTCTGCCAACTACGCACGCGCGGCGTGACGTCACGCGTGCCTCCAGGACTCTCCCGAGCTGGCGGGAGGGGCCTTGGCAGCTTCCGCCGCCGCGTAGCTTCAGGGATCGGACGTCGGGTTCGTGCTGCCTCCGCCGCCGCAGGGCAGCCGGGGGTCGCCGAGCCGAGCTTAGGGCGCGCGGCGGAATGGCCATGGGGCTGCGACGGGTCCGGTGACAGCAGGGAACTGTGCGGCCCGGGCCCTGACCGCATCTTCTCCGGGGGGCCTCGCCCTCCTGCTCGCGGGGCCGGGGCTCCTGCTGCCGTTGCTGGCTCTGCTGCTGGCGGCGGCGGCGGCGGCCACGATCATGTCGGGCCGCCGCTGCGCCGGCGGGGGCGCGGCCTGCGCGAGCGCGATGGCCGAGGCCGTAGAGCCGGCCGCCCGCGAGCTGTTCGAGGCGTGCCGCAACGGGGACGTGGAGAGAGTCAAGAGGCTGGTGACGCCCGAGAAGGTGAACAGCCGCGACACGGCGGGCAGGAAATCCACCCCGCTCCACTTCGCCGCAGGTAATCGGGGCCGGCACCGGCACCGCCTCGCCTCGCCGCAGACCCCACCTGAGCACCCTGGGTTCGCGAACCGGAAACTCGCCGCGTTCTTCTGCCCCCACCTTTCCCCCAGGACTCTAGTCCTGGCGATCTCGCCCTCTCCTGGGAAGGCTTGAGATTAAGGCTGGGGGCTAGCGAGCCGCGCCCTGGAAATTGGTTTTGTGTGTAGTTTTTGTTTGATTGCTTTGGGGTTTAAGGCTTTGTTTTGTTTTACAGTAACAACAATACCTGTGCCAACTTCCGGTCTTGCTACCCTGAAAGGCCCCTGCACACAAGAAAGAGTGGGAAAGCTTAGTATTAGACCTTGTGATTTGTAAAACTATCTCAAAACTTACTGCTCTTGAAAGTTCCACTACAGTCCTTGAGTTAAGGTTTTAGGCGTTTTTATAAAATGCGAGGATGTAATAGTTGCCTAATGGGCTGTTAACACATCAGCGTTTATTGCTTTATCAGAGTAGCCAATCATTAGCAGAGTGGAACTGGAAAAAGGCAAGTTTGGGAGAACTGAGATCTGACTTGGGATGGGTGTGGTCTCTGCTACACACACAAGTTGGGGTGCAAAATAGAATGAGAGACGTGCAAAGTACTTTAGCTTGGATCTAGATTTAAGTTGGGGCTCACTTTGCCTCATTATGAGATTTAGATAATTTGAATTGTTTTCTTTTACTATTTACTGGGTTCACTTCATGATACTAGAGTATTAAATTTAGTTGAAGTATTTAAAAAGAGCCAGAGATGGGACACTCAGCCTATTTCTATAAAACCTTTATGCTTTTCACTTTGAGGGAAAGTTGTGACTCTTTGTAACCTCAAGTGAGCCGTGTGAGCTTGAAAACGGAGTGGGTCCTCATACTTCTGATAATCTTGTGTTTTCTGTGGTGTATATTATGATTGTTTAAAACTTTTTTTTTTTTTTTTGAAAAAGCAGGGGGATGCATTTTAAATTACTCTTGTTCGTTTGGGCAGGAATGATGAGCAGAAGAACTTGAGAAGGATTTCCTAGTTCATAGACGTTTCTTTTACAGTTTTACCAACTGGAAATTTGTTTGCTTTGACCTGTTCTCATTTTAAAATGTAAATACTGTCAGGAAGCATGCTTTTCTTTGTCTATTGCACCTTTGTTTGGTCCCTTTGGGAAACCTTTTTAAGAGAAAAGGTTGAGGGAACCATGGTTGGAAGAGCTAGAAACAACTTGTGATCAGTGGGAAGAAAAGTGATCACACTGAGGTCAAATCTCACCAAGTTAGCCATTTTGCCTGAGATTTTGGTGCTCAGTGTTGTCTTTCTTCCGCTAATTTAAATTGTCCTGTTTGACCATTTAGCCAACTGATTTTGCAAACTGTCACACCAACTGATACATAATCCAAAGGGTAACGTTGCTGAGATTATATTCACTTGGACTATGAGATAAAAATAACCAAGGAAGATCTTAGTTGCTACCTTTCAAGAATTTGGTGTATTAATGAGTTCATACCTGAAAATAGTAATATTTAGAGGTGTAAGGTTATGGTATTAGCTTCTCATGACCTTGATCCTCCTCCACTATCCCACCTTCAGTTCTGTCCCAACATTTCAAAGCGTATTTTATATTTTGCATAGATTTCATGTTGCTCAGGTTGAAATGGAAAACTTAATATTTTAAGAACTGACTCAGTCCTCATAATTTACCCAAATTATCAGGTTTAGGCTATCAAATTAAGAATTCAAGATATAAAAAAGGAATAATAAAATAATTGCTAAGGAGTTTGCATTCAACTAGACCTTTAAACGTCCTGCATTTAAATCCTGGCTTAGTAAGAAATTTTTAAAGATGGCATCATAAATTTTTTAATCTAAATTACTAGATTAATGGTAGACATCTATTTTCTTAAATTTTTTTTCTGTGCTGAGAATGGAACCCAAGGCCTCAAACACGAAAGGCACACACACTACTACTACTGAGCTACACTCTTAGACCCTACTCCCTCCCCTTTTTAAAATTTTTTTCTTCTCAGTACTAGGTTTTGAACTCAAGGCCTCACATTTGCTAGGTTGTCACTCTACAACTTGAGCCACTCAGCCCTATTTTCTTAAACTAAGTGTGCCCAGCTGCATGTCTCACTATTTGGCAAGTGCATTTCATAATCTCTTTTGTCTGCAGTGAGTTATCGGTCTTACTTATGTGTATGTTCAATAGTAGGTGGTGGTGCTGTGTAACACCTGACCTAGCGGTTGCTTGTGCTTGCATTGTAGAGGAAAACGCCACCCCACACACACTTTTGTTTTTCCTTAACCATAAAAGTTTGGATGTTTTATTAGAGAGGCATGTTTTGTCTTTTTGAGAGATGTGTGCAGACTGAAGGAAATGCAGAACAGTTTAGAAAAAATTGTTTCATCTTTTTATTTTTCCCTTTCCCCCCCAAAGAAAAATTAGTTCAAGCTGGATGCTAGTGGCTCATGTTTATAATCCTGGCTACTTGGGAGGCTGAGTTTGGGAGGATCATGATTCCAGATCAGCCTGGGCAAAAAGTTAGCAAGACCTGATCTCAACAGAAAAAAACTGGGTGTGGTAGCATATGCCTGTCATCCTAGCAACAGCGAAAAATGTAAAAATAGGATTGGGGTCCAGGCCAACCTGGGCAAAAAAGGTGAGACCCTATCTCAAAAAAACCAGAGCAGGGGCTGGCAGACCAGTGGTAGAGCGCCTGCATAGTAAGCATGAGGCCCTGAGTTCAAACCCCAGTGCTGCAAATAAAAATAAAAATAATCAGAGCAAAAAGGGCTGGGGGTGTGGCTCAATCAGTAGAGCACCTACCTAGCAAGCTCAAAGCCCTGAGTTCAAACCTCAGTATTACAAAAAGAAAAAAATAGATAAAAATAAATTAGTTCAAATAATCATTTCCAGACCTAAGGGAGTTAAATGCTATTAATGAAAAAGTAATTAGTGTAAACAAATTTTTCTTCTGCTAACTTTTTTTTTTTATTATTGAGCTGGATTATGATAAGTATAGTTTAAAAAGTTATTTCTTAGAGGAAAAATTACTCAGAAAATTATTTCCTTTCCATCTGCCTTTTACCCACTCCCACCTCACACAAACACACAGTATATGAATTGATTATTTTGTCTATGACATACCACAAACATTGTACAGGCAAGTCGGTGGTAGGGTGACTTTCCCTTTAATTGTACTAAAAGAAAAGAATATTTTAAATTCTTGACATTGTAATCTCCCAGGAAACAGCATATATCAGTAAAGAAGTCTGCTTTCCTGAACTCATTTCTGAAAAATAGGAAGTAACAGAAATTGTGGGATAAAGTCATTTTTGTACCCATCATGGTAAAAGAAATACGGCATCCCTTAGAATATTAGAACTTGCAATAAAAGCGATAGAATTCCATTGCTTAGGAATCAACTATTAAAACTTTGGAGTGTGCAGAGAAGCATCATTCAGTAGGGAAAATGCAAAATTACTAGATTCAAGAAATTCAGGTGTCGATGAGGAAAAGAGAGATGATATACTTATATATTAAGGATGACAAATTGGAAGTGAGCTTGCATTGTGGAGTCCTAGCTAAGTAAGATAACATCTGATTTGTAGTATGTTATGTTATTGTTCCATGTTCATTGGACCAGTTAGACTGAACTTGGATTATATTCAGTTGTGTGAATTGCATATAAAAGGGATTTTTCTTTTTCAGAGGAGCAAAGTAGAGTTAGAACATCTGGAATTTATCATACAGTTGACAGGTGGGGAAACTGGAGTTACTTATTCAAGACATGAAAGGAAGACCAGACCATGTTACTGTCTTCACATATGTAGAAGAATGAGTGGAGTGTGGCTTCAGCAGTCAAAACTTAAGGCCAGTAGGAAAAAGTTTACAAGGAGTCAAAGAGACTTTAATAGTCTATTTAGCCATGGAACTGGCTGGAAGTATCTGAGCATTGGCTAGATTGGCATCTTTCAGAGATGTTGTAGAGAGGATTTCTGTATAGTCTGGACAGTTTTTCTAACAAAAAAGTGGGGTGGTTCTCTCAATTCAAGATTTTGACAGGTCAGCTACTAAAGGTATAATAGTTTTTATGATTACTATTTATATCCTTTTCCAAAATGATGCTAAAAAACATCTCAAAAACCTTTTTGTATTATTTCCCTCTTTGACTGTAACCCAGCATCATAATTAGGGGTAATACACAAAATGTATCCACACACTCTGTTGTTTTGGGGGATTGGGTTTTTGTTTGTTTTAATTTTTTTGGCAGTACTGGGGTTTACTTCCCACAGTAACTGGGATGACAGACATGTGCCAGCTAAGTTATTAGTTGAGATGGAGTCTCTCCAACCTTTGGCCTGGGCTGGTCACTAACTTCAGCACTCTAAATGTCCACCTCTTGTGTATCTAGTATTACAGGGATGAGCCACTGGTGACCGGTTTAGGGGAGGGTTGGGTTTGTTTTGTTTTGTTTTGTTGTTTTGAGACAGGATGTGGCCATGCAGCTCAGGCTGGCCTTGAACTCACCATATACCCCAACCTGGCCTCAAACTCAAGATACTCCTGCCTCAGCCTCTTGGTTGCTGGGATTATAGGCATGTACCACCATGCATGAACATAATACCAGCCATGGTACTAAGTTTATTGATCCACAAATATACTTTCCAGATAGAGTCTTTGCTCCACCCTCAGTGCTTCACAATAGATTCATACTTGCTGTATGATTTTGTCAGGATTTTCATATATATGTCAGTGTTTGGAGATGAGTGTTTTGTCCATAATTACAGAATAAACTGTCTTCAGAGCATCCATGACTATCAACTTGAGGCTTCTGATTCCTTTGTAAAGAGATCATAGGATATGGAGGTTGACATTGACTCTTAGGATATGCCTGTTATGTTCCACCTGACCAGTGAGAACAGATTAAAATATACCCTGTAAAGCTGTTTTTTCTTTAAGAAATGGGTATTTAGCAGAAGTGCTTTGAATT